CCATTCTGTTGGTCGTTCATATCCGTAGAATTGCTAGCAGATGGGAAAATAGATGAGTCAGGATACAGTATTAGCAATCCATGTTTTTTTAATCACAGGCCACTAATAATGTCTGCAGCATCTGTGAGATTCATTTAAACAGTTGCTAGGAAGGGTTTGTTTCCTAGTAAACACAATAAACCTCATACAGGATTTTCTTGATGGACTGTTTGACTAAACGTGTTAACATTTATTTACATGCAAAACTGTTTGCTTCATTGTAGTAGTGTCTCATTTATTCTGACATAATGATTATGCCAACAACTCGTAAACCCATTAAGCTTGAAATGTTACCACACTTATACATGTAAAAGCTTTATAATTGAGCTAGCAAGGTGGAGGCTCAGTGGCCCGTGCCACCAAGCCTCACTGCCTGAGTTTAGGTTGCAGTACCAGAACGGTAGAAGGAGAGACTGACTCTAGCAAGGTGTCCTCTGACTGCCACACACTCATACATAATGCCAATAAATAAGTGAATATGTTTTTGAAATCCTTATACTTCTGTATCTGTTGCTTGGTTTTGTTTTGTTTTTTATTTTACATGTCGATTCCAGTTGCCTCTCCCTCCCTCTGTTGCTTGTTTTTGATTAAGACTTTTAAGAATATCTCCAGTAATTAGAAATGTGTTTCACAGCCCCAAGTGGTAGAGTGCACCTTTAGTCCCAGCAATTGAGAAGCAGAGGCAGGCGGATCTCTGTGAGTTCGAGACCAGTCTGGTCTACAGAGTGAGTTCTAGGACAGGCTCCAAAACTACACAAAGAAACACTGTCTTGAAAAACCAAAAAAAAAAAAAAAAAAGAAAAGAAAGAAAGAAAGAAAAAGAAAAGAAGTATATTTGACAAAACACAATGTAAAAACCCAAGGACTTTCCTGTCTGAGAGGGTTAAAACTATTTTAAAAAGTAATTCAGTCTTGCTACTTAAATGTGATGTTTTCGACTGAATAGTAAAATAACTGTGTAACCGCAGCCAGTAATCGTTCAGGGTTTCTCATTCAGGACTAACCCTGATGGCTAAAATTTTAAACTGTCAGAATTATCAGTAGGTTGACTTAGCCTGAGTTTTCATCTCAGCTTTGACATCACTGAGTTGTTTGTGCTGCTAATTTATGAAGTGTCAACAACCAAAGCCATTAGCCTGCATAGCATACTTAGGTTTTCTCTTTAAGATACTGGGAAATGGAGCCCTTTGGATTTCCATGTGCAGATCATCTCCTGCATGAGATGTGAGAACCTAGGTCACATCATGGGACCTAGAAGTCGTACATCAAACCACCAATTTTCAAACAGAATGACCCTTCTATTGGAAAGTACTTTTGACATTTTTATTTCATTTATGAGAAGTGTCTATATTCCTTTCTGTTGTCAAAAGTCTTGGGCTTTTCCTGAAAGTCTTGTTTAAAACAGAAGCAAATTAGCCAACCAACCAAAAGCTGAAGAAAAGGACAGTTCTGCCACTGTTTACCCATTTCAGATGTTCTGTACAAGGTTCTCCTCGGTAGAAATCCCCGGACAGTTCAGCTTGGCTTGAAGGCCCTGAGAATTTCCCAGTAGCAATGTTGTCCTGGCTTTAACTACCTGATGGGCCTGTTTGGAAAACTTTTGCTACTTGGAAACAACCAAATATCCAATGAAAGTATGTATCAGATACTTAATTTACACCTGTAGGATGAAGGTGTTTGACCTTTAATGGAAGCCACCAGCGTGTTTCTACTCTATTCTGCCTTCTCCTCATGTGTCTCCCACTGTAAAACCACCCAAGAAAATCTGTTAGGTTTTAATGAAAAGTACAAAATGTTACTTGAAATGTTTGAGATCTGGGGAGTCCAAAATATATACCTGAGACTGTAGAGAGTAATCCTCTCTCCAAAATTAAATGGTCATGACTGGTTATGCTTAGTATATAGGAAATCTAAATATTTTAATAAAGGACTTCTCTAAAGTTGCCTGGCAGCCTTACCTCAGGACATAGCAAACTGTAAATTATGCAGAAGTCATTTTCTAGAACCCCAGCCGTAAACAGCTCCAACCCAAAACTCAGATTTGAAAAAAAAACAAAGAATAAAAATGAGCAGGCTGTACCTTGCCACTACCCACGCCCTTCTTCCTAACCCTACATCAGGCTTTCATCAGCATCATGGTATAATGCTTTGTAAGGTTACTTAATAGTCTGTGGATCTCAGTAGAGAAGACTGAAGTAGAATTGGACTCCACAGATGTTCCTGGGTACATCTGTGTTGAGAAATGTGACTCCTTGTCCATGCTGGCTCTTCAGAACGTCACGTGTTTCGATAGTTCAGAGAGTTCTCAGCTTCCTTAACATCTTATGCCCACGGTGATTTAATAGAACTAATCATGGAACAAATGTGTACTTAATGATCTATATACTACTGTGAATGGTATGCAAATTAAGTTGTAACATAGTTTAAAAGCGAGGTGCTCAGGAGATAGGCAGGAGCATCTTCAGCTTGAGGCTAGTCTAAGGTATACAAGGCCAGCCTGGTACAGAAAGACTCTTCCTGTTAAAGAATAAAAAGTAATAAAACCAGGAAGGTTATTTTGTGCTGTCCAGAGCAGCAGAGCAGGGCTGGTTTCACACTGGCTAGTGCTGCTCACACCACAGGGCAAGGTGATCAGCTTGAGCTGAGCATGCTCCTTCAACATTGCTCTTCCCCAGTGTATTTTTGGAACTTTCTCTTGTGACTCATTCCCGGTATCCTCAGAACCTTTTTTTGGCTGAGAGTGAATTAGACTTGGGGAAGCAGAAGTCACTCAGGGCCAGGTACGATGGGTAAAGTGGAGGATTGGTGAGAAATGCTCTCAGCCTACTATTTTGGGTGAGTCAGTAACAGGAGTGTTTTCTAGCTTTGACTCATAAAACAACTAGAGAGTTGTCATCTTTAAAAAGAAAATGAGCTTCGGGTTTTATCATTTTCAAACTAAGTCTTCAAGCTCTCATATAAGGTTTCTGCTCCAGAATATTAGCCTCCTCAATTTCAAACCTGCTTTGCCTGGTTCTTGGGCCACCCACACCTGCCCTTCCGCAACCCCTGCACCCACCACACAGCCCTCCCCTGCACCCACCACACAGCCCTCTTATGCAGAGCCCCTGGAGTATGGCATTTCCTCAGTTCAGTGAGGCAAGGCCTCCTCTTCCCTAGGGCTCAGCATTACTGAGATTCGTTCCCGATCAAGGACCAGTGTGGCCCTTACTCCTGTGAGAGTCTGTTCCCTGCCTGCCTGGAGTTCATGGTGGGACTCCTTCCTTTCTGGGGCAGATCTGTTCTGAAAGCAATAGATGCTTCCCACGAGACACACATAAAAATCCCATGGGGACTGCGTAGGCACCTCACTGTAATCTTTGTCATGCAGTGACACTGTGCTGGCCGGATCCCATCAGCCCTTCGGCGCTCGCCCTTCCTCCTCATCTCTAGGGTAGTGAAACAGTTCTTCCTTACTTTCCCACCACGGTGTGGAGGACATGATGATAGCAATCTGATTGTGTTTAACATGGGTTTTTCTTCTTTGTTAAAAACTACCTACCCTCCACTATTAGTATAATAAGGAAGGACATAGTTCTAGGGGTTTTTACATTGTTTGGGAGTTGGGAAGCATATGCATGCCACAGCACTTATGTGGGAATCAGAGAGCTACAGAAGATTTCGTTTTCTCCTTCCACCACATGGGTTCCAGGAATCAAACTCACACCATCAGGCTTGGCATCAAGTGCCTTTACCCACTTACAAGTTTGTTTTGAATGATGACAGGGTAAAAGCTGACCATGTGGATGTCTAGTATAGAGCATCCTGTTGACTGGAGTTTCTGTCTTGCCCACTCCTGTGGCCGTTTATTACCAAATAAACACAGAGGCCAGTACTAATTATAAACTGTATGGCCACTGACTCAGGCTTCTTACTAGCTAGCTTAACCCCTTTTCTATTAATCTGTGTATCTCCACATGGTCTTGGCTTACTAGTGATGCCCAGTTCTCTCTCTTGCTCTGCAGCTACATGGCATCTCTCCCTCACGACTCATTCCCTGCCTTCCTCTTCCCAGCCTTCTACTCTGGTAGCTCCACCTGTACTTCCTGCCTGGCTGCATCCTGCCTGTCCATTGTCCAAAACAGCTTTATTCATCAACCAGTAAGAGAAACATACTCACAGCATACCGAAGGACATCCCCCATCAGCATTCTGTAGCCCCTGGTGACATTCCTGACGGTGCTTCTCAGGAGATGACACGTAGCTCCCTGCTTTGACAAAGAGGTTGATACAGTGTATGGTACGGCAGGTGTCCTGTCCTGATGTTACAGTGAAGAGCGGTTAGGAATGTGCTGCTGTCGCTGAAGCCAACATAATCATACTGTCGTGTAGCCCGTCACATCTCACTGCCATTTCCTTCTCAGCTTGGCCACATTCAGCAGAGCTCATACAGTGCAGCTTGAATCAGCTTGGGGTTTGCTGGTTGGTTGGTTTGTTTGTTTGTATCACGATACCCTTTTGTCAAAACACTCAGAGAAAAAGTATTCTGGATAATGTAATTTTCTATTTATGAGCTGAAATTGTCAGCATTTGGTAAAATAAAGGAGAGACCTGTTGACTGAACAGTCTGGCCCTGTTCTTGGTCTGTTGGTCCTGGGTTCTACAGCACCCTGTAGTGGTCCCCAGAGCACCTCCAGTACAGCTGCTTGTGACATGGCACATTTGTCTCTGGGCCTTTTTCAAGCATGTTTCTTCATCTTACTTTTTTATCATTCGGTCATCCCTAACAGTGAGGCCTTGATTGCTTTGCTGTGGATTAACTCGAGGTTCCTGTAGCTTGTGGCTTCTTCAGGGAAAGAATTCCTGCTGTAATCGTTGACCGTACTTCTAAGGGGTATAAAGAACTTTCTGAAATATTTATTCTTTAGATTTAAGTACATTTTGGATGATTTTACAGTATTAATTTTCTTTTTCTGCATCTAGTTAAAAAATCTAAGTTTAGAAGAGCTACAGATGCGTTTAAAGGCACTGGACCCCATGATGGAGCGGGAGATAGAGGAACTGCACCAGAGGTACAGTGCGAAGAGGCAGCCCATCCTGGATGCCATGGATGCGAAGAAGAGGAGACAGCAGAATTTCTGACCGACACCCTCTGCCTCAGCGTGACCGGAGACCAGGCAACCACAAGAACTGAAGGCACTGTGCTGCTTTTTTAATCCCTGAAATGTACGTTCTACAATTTTGCAAAAGTCAAAAACTAATGATGGTACACAGCCAGGTAAATTCCCAAAGTCAGACTTTGAGTTGTGTCCACTCTGGCTTCGGTTAGAAAGGATAAGAACAGTAGAAATGTGCTCTTTCTGACAGCTGCTACGCCAGCAACCAAACCAATCTAAATTAAAGCTCTATTTGGAGACTTTGGAAATCCAAAGCTGTCGCTTAATTGCACAGTACCAGAGGGGCTTTGTGTTACAATATCCTTTATTCCTGTGGAGAAGCCTATTTATTGAACCCCTAGGTAGACTTATTTATTTATGCAGTTTCACTTTTTTCTTTCTTTTTTTTAAAAAAACAAGATCAGGATAGTTTGGGTAAATGTTCAGACACATTGACAGATGATAACACACAACTAAATTGTACATTGAGCAGGGAGCTATGGGTGCATTCCTTCATCTCCAATGGAAACAGAGCAGCAAGAGCAATAACGTCCAGATGGACCAGGCATCTTTATACTGAAGACTTAATTCCATGTCTACCTTTTGAAGTGTTAATTCTCGGTTTAATATTGGTACAAGTAAGGCTATATATACATAGGTCAAACAGATTTATACCATGTAAAACCAAAGAAATCAATGAATCCTTGCACAAAAAAAGTGTGGGAAATATTTTTAAAGAAAGAAAACTTGAGAAGACAATGTAATTGTTAACATTTCCTGTGTTGGTCCGCAGTAATCTCATCAAATTTATTCTGCAGAAATAGTCACAGGACTTTTTGTCGATTTCATTTATGTCCTAGGAATTGATAAGCATCATGTATCTGACAATAACAAAACAGTAAAAACATTTGTACTAAACTGTGCATCCTTGGGGCCTGAAAAAAACAAAACAGATTTAAGCTAGAAAGAAATTCATTTCTGGGCAGAATTACCATTTGTGTAATTGAACTGGGACCAGTCCTTTCCTGCACTACACATGGCCATTTTGAGTGTGTGCTCTTTTATGTGTTAATTACTATGTGTACATCATGAAGACAAATAAATTCCACTGTGCCACCACCACTTTGCATCTTTGTTTGATGCTGTGTTGGACAGTGTCGCCTGTGTGCTTTCCTGTGTCCCCTGCACATTCACTGAACCACATCCCGGGGTTTGAAGCCGTGCTCTACCCGCTGCCAGCCATGTCCATTCTCAACAAACGTTACGTAATACATTAATGGGGTGTTTTCTACTGAGTCACAGGAAATCTTCCCAAATCGCTGACACATTTATGTTCAGTAGAAATGCTATTTTTGTGTCTTTCCTATTTTAATGTTAAAGATTGATGATTAAATTCCAAAAAATACTGCTATCCTAAATAGACTTCTTTAACTACTTGCAATTACTGAACAGTTACTATGAGGCATAGGCGCTTCATTAGACAGTTCATCAGAATGCTATTTTGAAGCATCAGGTATTCTTTCATTTGGCACAGGAGACTAGGAATCAAGTCTAATGAGTATCACGTTTCTTTGCTCTTTGGTATGATGAAATCCAGGCCCAAGGAAAACTTACATGTCTTAGTCAGGAACTCTGGTGTGTGTCGGGGTGTCTTGGGCCCTGAGGAGTGAGTCCACTTCCCCCTTCCACATCCACAGTAACACTTGACTTCAGCATCCCTCCCCCAGAGACTCTAAAGAGAAGCCACAGTACCAACTCATTCCTTCCATCACAGTGGACCACATCACAACCTTCTCCACATCACTGTTCTTGCCACTTGATTAAACTCCCCACGACTCTGCCACAGAATATTGACTACCAAGTTGAGTGAACTTGGCTTCCTGGCATCTAGGCCTATGGCATGGCTCAGCTGACATCTGTGACTTCATCTTTCATTATTGCTTTATTTGTTAATCATAATTATCTCCTTTACCTTCAGGTTGGGTTGTAAAGTTTTTTGAAGCACAGGCATTTGTTGGCCCTGCCTCCCTGTGGTGTTTCTTGGTGGACTGGATAGGAAGCACTGGACATTAGATATAAGGGTTTTGTTGTATGCGGTACTCATCATTTATAGGTTGATTCTCCAGGAACCAAATGTCAGCCATGTTCAAGCTCTATTAAGACCTGTCCTTTCCATGTGTTAGTTTGGCACTTCACAGCAAGATGTATATTCTTCCTATTGGAAAAGCAAAGGAAGACTGGAAGAAGTGTGGAGAGATTAAGCGAAGTCATGGCTGATTAATACCAGTGTGGGCTCTTAATTTCGATGGGTCATCCCCCAGCTGCCTTCTCACTGGGCCACACAGACTTCCTGGCTCTAGAGTGCTAATGGTGTCACCAAGCCTTAAAATTAGGATCAGTGTGAACTGGTTACTACTTTTTTTGCCTTTCCTATTGAAAGGAAACCTTCATTTTCCGAAATGGCATCCTTTCTGTATGGGGAGTGGGATTGTGGGGACCAAGCTGTGTCACAAAGAAGACATCTTTCAGTTACTAGGATGCAGGTAGCTGCTGTTTGCCTTGGTCGCCATGCCATTTTGTAAGTGGTAATGTGTCCTAATCTCTCACTTACCAGCTTCCCTTTGACAGCACTTTGGAGAGGCATTAAGATAGTAAAAGGAGCATGGTATCAGATGTTGAATGATCTGGGTTCAAATCCCAGGTATTCTTTTGTTGTCCTAGGCAAAAATAACCATCCAACCACAGTGCTTAAATGCATTTGTAGCTGGAGAGGCAGCTTGGTGGTTAAGAGTATGTGCTGCTCTTCCAGGGGACCCAGGTTCAATTCCCAGCACCCACATCCTAGCTAACAACGGTGTAACTCCAATTATGAGGGATCCAAAACCCTCTTCTGGCCTCCATGAGCACTGAACACGTGTGGTGCACAGACACACATGCAGGCCAAACACCTGAAGAACACATAAAATAAAAATCTCAAAAAGAAATCAGTTTGTAATAACTCAGCAGTTTCAATGAGCAAATGTTCCAATACCTATAAAACGTTTAGCAAAATCCCTGGCATAATATAAATGGATATTAGTTTAGAATCAACTTCCAGCCCTTTTCAGTTTCATTTTCATGCATTGTTTTGCAGAAATAAAAGAGAAGTCTGTTCACTGAAAATCAAATGTGTTGTCTTCCAAAATGAATTAGACTCTCCTAGAACCCAGGTAGGCCTTCTCTTAAGAGCTGGCTGTACTCTTGAGTAGGAATTTGTGTGAGGAAAAACTATCATTCTTTTATTAAAAGCATTTTCTTTACACATGAAGGATTGTCTTCAGCTAAGCTTAAAGCTCATATACTCTAGGACTAGCTTTCTATTGTAGGGATTATTGTTAAGGCAGCTTCTGTAGCCTGATTTGCATAGACCCATCTGGAAATTTCTCATTTGTGTCCCTAAAAGTTTTTTCTTGGCAAGTCTTGGCTTCCTTAGGTTCTTACAGATACGACACATGTAATTGATTTGCTCTCAGTTTACTCCAGTTCTAGGAAGCTGAAAATCAAGTTTGTATCTTGAGGGCCTATGATCTGCATAGCTACATTTCCCTGATTATATTTATGGAAATGAAAAATACTTTTTAGAGGAAATATCTGGAAGTATTTGTTACGTTTTATACTTAGAAGGATTTGGCTCTACGTTGTGTGTGATCTCCATATTTTTATAGGATTCTTGAGGATATCAAATTTGGTATTAGGTGGTGTGTTCAGGTCCTGGACCTAAAACACTACCTGTTCTCTATGTTTGGGCGTGACATCTGGGGAAGGAGAATGCTAGCGTGTAAGATACCAGAGACAGGTAGGTAACTCTTGGGCTTCCCCTTCTGGAAGGAATGCCATAGTGCACTTGGCCTCGTACCTTGTCCTTGTGACCTACTCACATCACAATTACACAAGAACTCACTCAGGCTGCTAAGGCAGACAGGCACCTTGAGCCCAGTCCAGCTAAGAGGTCAGACTCTCTTAAAGCTTGTTTAGATAGGTAGATAGATAGATGGTAGGTAGGTAGGTAGGTAGGTAGGTAGGTAGGTAGGTAGGTAGGTAAGAGATGGATGATATATAGTAAATAATAGGAGATAGATATTAGATGAGAGATAGTAAATAGATAATATGTGATAGATGACAGGCAGTCAGACAGACAGTATTTTTAGTACTAAGGATAGGACCTAGGGCTTCACATACTCGAGGCAAACACTCTTAACCCATCTCTATATTACAAGCCCCTGTTTCCCCTTCACACACCTGCTCCTAATCCATTTCATATTCTTAATGGAAATAGAGGGATATAAGGAATAAAAAAGAGGAAGCTGAAAGGAAATGCTCTTTCCAGGCTGGTACAAATGACAGTCAGTCAAACATACCCCACATCACCTTTCTACTAGAAAGCTCCAAAGCCAACAAGTTGTAAAATGCCCTAGTGCCTTCCCACGTTTAAATCTACCAACTGGTTTCTTACATTTTGGTAGACTTTACCAAGGGTGGTGGTTTCAATGAGAATGGCCCCAAAAGCTCATGCATTTGCATGTTTAGTCCCCAGTTGGTGAACTATTTAGGAAGGATAAAGAGGTGTGTGTGGCCTTTTTGGGGTAGGTGTGCCACTGGGGGTGGGCTTTGAGGTTTCAGAAGCCTATACCAGGCCTAGACTCTGTGTGTCTGTCTCTTCTGTCTCTGACTCTCTGTCTCTCTGTCTCTCTCCCTCCCCTCCCTCCCTCCCTCTCTCTCTGTGTCTCTCTCTCTCTCTCTCTCTCTCTGCCCGCCATCTTCAGATCAGAATGTAAAGCTCTTAGCTCCAGTACCAAGCTAGCCTGCATGCCACCATACTCCCCGCCACTATGATAATGGATTAACACATAGAAACTGTAGGCCAGCCCCCAATTAAACACTTTCCTTTATAAAAGTTGCCTTGGCCATGGTGTCTCTTCACAGCAATAGAACAATAACTAAGATGCCAGACAAAACCTCAGGCTAGCACTCTCGGGCTTTCAATAGGCTCTGATATTTGAGATGTTCCAATGTGCAGAGAACATTCCAGAGGGGGAATCCTGCGGCTTCTCGGTTTTAGCCTTTCCACTGATTCCATAACAGCTTTCTTTCCTGTTGAAAAAGAAGATATACCTTGCAAGAATGTTCAAATGAGAAGACATCACGGGGCTTGTAACAGAAGACTTGGATGCACAGAAGGGTTTATTATTAATGAATCAAAGAGCAAACCCATGGGTGCATTCCCTGTTGACCTTTTAGAAAGTACTTCAGGGTTTATTTTTAAAACATTAGCTGATGGCCATAACCACTTCACATGCCTAGGACGTGATCTTCGGTAGTGAGCTCGACATTAATGGGCTGCTGAGCTTCTGCCATT